TTGCTTTAAACTATCCTGAAAATAATAATAAAAAAAATTAGATCAAATAGATTCAAATTAATTAAAATCTGAATTATTGGCCCAATGAAGCCCAATTAATAAAAATTCACTAATAACAGAAAGTTAAGCCCAAAACACTAATTAAAATAAGTTCAGAAAGGAAATAAAATATGGGAATAAAATGACTCATCATAGACCCAACTAAAGTAGAAGCAATTCTATAGTAGGATCCACAAAAAACAGTGACTAAGATTCATAATTTTCTGGGTTTGGTAGGTTATTATAAGAGATTCATTGAAAGATTTTCTAAAATAGTTATGCCTTTAACCCAACTCACCAAGAAAGGTCAAGCTTTTGAATGGTCAAAAAGACGTGAAGAAAGTTTTCAAAAGCTTAAGAAAAGATTAACTACTTTCCCTGTACTAGCATTACTCAACTCTACTAGACACTTTGTGATATTTTGTGATGCTTCCAAAATAGGACTAGGATGTGTTCTTATGCAAGATAGAAGGGTAGTCGCATATGCTTCTAGACAATTAAGAACATATGAGAAAAACTATTCAACTCCATGATCTAGAAGTAGTCGTCATCATTTTTGCCCTCAAAATAAGGAGACATTATGTGTATGGTGGTAAGTTTGAGGTTTTTAGTGACCATAAAAGTCTTAAATACTTGTTTGATCAAAAAGAGTTAAATATGGGACAAATAAGATAGATAAAATTTTTAAAAGATTATGATTTTGAATTACATTACCATCTAGGAAAGGCAAATGTAATGGCAAGTGCTTTAAACAGAAAATCTTTACATGTCTCTTCCCTGATGATTTATGAGATAAGTATGCTAGAAAAATTCAGAGACATGAATTTGTCAATTACCGTGAGCCCTGATAGAATAAAATCAAACTCAATTCAGATTACTAGTAATTTATAAAGACAAATCCATTAGGCTCAAGTAAATGATCAATTCATTCAGAAGAAAAAGAAGTTGATAGGACAAAAGAATGAAGAAAAAATGGCATAAATAGACCATGAATTTTGAGATTTAATGGTGTTGGGAATCCAAATGTGAGTTAAGTCCCACATTGAGTAAGAATGAGATAGTTGAACAACATATAAGGAAGTATGACCCATAATCCAATGCCTTAAGGTTTTGGGTTGAGAGTGATGTCAATCCCTTATGTGGGTTGGACTCATGTCTCATTGATGTTGTTCTCCCTAGTGAATCCCCTCGAAAGACCCAACAAGTCGTATCAGAGCCGAAGTTTGATCAATAGTACTCTTCCTGACAGAGTGGAAGTGTCCCGTTCAAGTGAAGGTACATGGAAGGATCACTAGTGAGCTCGAGGGGATGTACCAATGTGGAGGGACTCACACTTGAGGGGGAGATTGCTGGGTATCCAAGTGTGACTTAAGTCTCACATTGAGTAAGAATGAGAACATTGAACAACATATAAGGAAGTATGACCCATAACCTAATGCCTTAAGCTTTTGGGTTGAAGGTGGTGTCATATTCTCTTATATGGTTGGCTCATGACCCATTTGTGAGAATCTCCCTGCTGTTAGCCCCCTCAGAAATACCTAATAGTGGTTTTATAGCCGAAGGTTGATCGGTAGTGAGTAAAAGTGATCTTTGTATCGAAAGTCTTCTTGATAGAGTGGGTTGGGTAAGCGTGTCCCGTTAGAGTGAACGGTAGTACATGGAATGACCACTAGTGAGCTCGAGGGGATGTACCAATGTGGAAGACTCACACTTGAGGGGGAGATTGTTAGGAATCCAAGTGTGAGTTAAGTCCCACATTGAGTAAGAATGAGATAGTTGAGCAATATATAAGGAAGTATGACCCATAACCCAATGCCTTAAGGTTTTGGGTTGAGAGTGGTGTCAATCCCTTATGTGGGTTGGACTCATGTTTCACTGATGTTGTTCTCCCTAGTGAATCCCCTCTAAAGACCCAACAAGTGTGATTCCCTTTCAGTGGTATCATATAAGGAAGTATGACCCATAACACAATGCCTTAAGGTTTTGGGTTGAGATTGGTGTCATATTCTCTTATATGATTGGCTCATGATCCATTTGTGAGAATCTCCTTGTTGTTAGCCCCCTCGGAAATACCCAACAGTGGTATCAAAGTCGATGGTTTATCTAGTGACTGGCTCAGTTGAGTATAGTAGGTTAAAGGTCCTTGTGTCGAAAATATTCCTGATAAGGGTTTCAGGCAATCAAGTCCCGTTAAGTTAAACGACGGTACAAGTAAGGTCATTACTAGACACTCATGACTAAAAAATACTTTCACTCGAGGGGGAGGTAGACACTCATGACTAAAAAATACTTTCACTCGAGGGGGAGGTATACCAATGTGAAGGGACTCAAACTTGAATGGGAGATTGTTGGGTAATCCAAGTGTGAGTTAAGTTCCACATTGAGTAAGAATGAGAAAGTGGAGTAACATATAAGGAAGTATGACCCATAACCTAATGCTTTAAGGTTTTGGGTTAAAATGGTGTTAATCCCTTATATGGGTTCAGCTCATGTCTCATTGGTGTTGTTCTCCCTAGTGAATTCCCCCTTGAAAAGATCCAACAAGTGGTATCAGAGCCGAAGGTTGATCGATAGTGGATTTGAAAAGTCCCAACAAGTCGTATTAGATCAGAGTCGAAGGTTGATCGACAGTGGATTAGAGTAGTCTTTATAACTAATATGAAGGGACTCACACTTGAGGGGGAGATTGTTGGGTAATCCATGTGTGAGTTAAGTCCCACATTGAGTAAGAATGAAAAGGTTGAACAACATATAAGGAAATATGACCCATAACCCAATGCTTAAGGTTTTGGATTGAGAGTGGTGTCAATCCCTTATGTTGGTTGAGCTTATGTCTTAATGATGTTGTTCTCTCCAATGAATTCCACTCGAAAGACCCAACAAGTGGTATAAGAGCCGAAGGTTGATCGATAGTGGGTAAGAGTGGTCTTTGTATCGAAAGTCTTCCTGACAAATTGGGTCGGGTAAGCGTGTCCCATTAGAGTGAACGTCAAGTCTTCTGACAGAGTGGGTCGGGTAAGCATGTCTCATTAGAGTGAACGATGGTATATAAAAGGATCACTAGTGAGCTCGAAGGGATATACCAACCCACATAAGGGATTGACATCACTCTCAACCTAAAACCTTAAGACATTGGGTTATGGATCATACTTCCTCATATGTTGCTAAATTTTCTCATTCTTACTCAATGTGAGACTTAACTCACACTTGGATTACCCAATAATTTCCTTTTCAAGTGTGAGTTCCTTCACATTGGTTACAAAGACCACTCTGACTCACTGCCGATCAACATTCGGTTTTGATATCACTTGTTGGATCTTTTCGTGGGGAAATTTACTAGGGAGAACAATACCAATGGGACATGTAAAGTTCATATCTTGTAAACTTGTAAAATTCACATGTTTTTACATATTAATGTATAAACATTTATCCATGTCTTACTTTTAGAAAATAATAATCTTAAATTATCAAGAAAAAAATTGGACGTCATGTAATACACATTTTACAAAAACAAAATCATATTTTACCTTTTATATATATATAACAAAAAAAATCAAATAATAATCTTTGTGCGTATGAAAAGAAAAATAAACAATTTAGATTCGTGCTATTTCTAATGAAGAATTCTGATATCTGACTTATTCAGGATATTATAGCTTGTATGTAGTTTTACATAATCTCAAAAGTAAGAAAACTTACCATTGACGATCTAACTTTTTTAGAAAAAAAAAAAAAGTCAAGTCTTACCTAATATACCTACTTAAAGAAGAAAAAAATAAATAATAATAATAATAATAATAATAATAATAATAATAATAATAATAATAATAATAATAATAATAATAATAATAATAATAATAATAATGATAATGATAATGATAATGAACTTCTATATAATTTAAAATTTATTTGTTTATAAACTAATATTAAGAAATTCCTTATTTTTTAAAATTTTTATCTTTTAATTTACACATAGATTATATTTGGCTTATGATTTTTTTTTCATAAAAATATTTATAAAGAAATTTATCCAAATATATTCTTATTTCCCTTAGTATATTTCGGCCAACAATACATCCAACTAATTTAAAGTATAAAGTAGTTATAATAGAAATAAATCCAATTAATACAAATAATATATAATCAGAATTAAAAATCCATTTATAGCAATTTGTAATGCAAGTCTTTTGTTATTTTTATTAATGTATTATTAATATATATTGTTTACAATCATTTAAAATAATTATTATAAATTTCAATAACTTGTTATACATAAGAAATTACAATTAAATAATAACACACAACATATGTTAATATTAGTAATATATTTTAATCGATAAATCCCAGTTATATAAATTATCAAAATAAAACTAGTTTTGGTTTCAATACCATAATAACAGCGTTTTCATAATGTATCGGATGCAGTAAAACAAATTTAAATTTTAAAATAATTATTAAAAATATTAATGATATAAAAATTAGACACATGTACATCTATTTGCGCTAATTCACTTTTTAAAAATGAATTTCCAAAATTATTTTAAAAAATAATTAAATGAAACAAAATCCTAGATAATGTAGAATCACATGCTATAGGAGATGATTATAATCGGAAATTTTTACATGCTATTAACCCACATTGTATTTTTCTCTTTTTATGCCTCCTTATAATCTAGAGTTGTCGTATTTGTTTTTGCTTTGATGCGTATCAAATATGTTACTGAGTTTTGTACACAACTGAAAATATCGATTTGTACAACTCCACTCCACACTATTCCTCACATAAAAGGACACCTAGCTAACCACAAACCAATAACAAAATCCAAAAACAAAAAAACAAATGAATAAATAATCGGAACCATATAAAGTCGATAACTCATGGAGAGCAACACCAAAACACAGATCAATTACGAGCAGAGTGTGTGTGAGAGAGAGAAAAGTAGAAAGATAGAAAATTAATAATGCGGTGTCATGGCTTAACCGTACACGGAACCAACCACCGTGGCTTCTGCGTCCCCACCGTGTCTCCGCTGTTTTCCAGACCCACCCGACCCGTCACCCGAATTTCGTTTCCCAAGGCCACCCTCAAGAACGACGGACTAGTCATGGAGTTGAGCTTCTACGAGCTTCTGGGCATACCCGAGTCCGGTTCCTTGATGGAGATCAAGAACGCGTACAAGCAACTCGCCCGGAAGTACCACCCGGACGTGTCGCCGCCGGGTCGGGTCGAGGAGTACACCAAACGGTTTATTCAGGTGCAGGAGGCCTACGAAACCCTCTCCGATCCTTCCCGAAGAGCCATGTACGATCACGACATGGCCAAGGGCATTAACTTTGCTTTCAACGCCCGCAGACGCCACAATTACCACGATCAGGTACACCGCGTTCTAGGGTTACTTAAATTCTTCTCTCCATCGCCTGATTTCCGATTTCAATTGTGTGATTGCCCAGCTTGTGATTCGTATGATTCAGTGATTTGTTGTGTTTTCTGTTTTTGGTATCGCTTTTCGTTTACGATCCTCATCGAAAATGTTGAAAATAAATAAGAGAAGGTTAATTTGAGTGCTACTTTTTGGATTGTTTCATTACTTTGTTTTTTTCTTTTCCCAACAAAAGAATTTATTTTTTATTTTTTTGTCTATGGACATGGTTCACTAATATCCCAAGACTTTGTTCGCCTCATATTAACCTGGCTCGCCCGAGGTAAGTAAGTAGAATGCTACAAGAACTGTTTTTGTCAAGGGTCGAACTAGGACAATACCCGAAAAGTTACACCTTTCCATTAAGAACTGTACACACTCTTGTTTGGATGTTCTTTTGCTTTGTTTTAATTCTTAAAATAAAAGGCTTTGCACTCACAAATTGTAAGAGCTTATTTGGGCTATGTGGTTATTTAGTTTTTTTCTGACTTGTGATATATCATATGGCCTATAATGTTTCGAAAAGCTCATATGTAATTTTTTTTCTTTTTCAGTTTCTAGTGTATAATTGTAGTATTGAGAACTATACATCAGTTATCTGATTTATTTGGGCTATTTTCACCTTGTGTTGAAGTTATGATTTGATGAGTTAGGACTTGGATATTTTTTACTACTGATTTGTTTACCCTATATCAGTCTGGAACAAAGAAAATGGCTGTTGCTGATTTGACCTGGAATGGGAATTGCTTCATAAATTATCACACTCTTTTGAATTCGATATTTGGTATTTGTGGGGGACTAATTATAACTTGGTCATGGGAAATTCTTGTTCTGTTTGTGTTTTTTTCTGAAGTTGATACAATTTACAGTTCAAGGGTGACCTTGCTTCTTTTGAAATTTCTTTTTCATGATGGTATTACAGATTCTTCTTGTTATGAACTTATATTAGTATTTAATGTGTCTATTACAAATATGACTTCTGCTCTGCACCTATCTATACTGGAGATTTTTACAAATAATGAGGACTATGACAGTCAGGTCCTTAGGAAAGTTTCATGGTAGAAATAGATTATTTGTTTTTCCATTATTTGTTAGTCCTTATTCCATTAAATGTCGACTTCAATCCCAGCTCACCAACACAGAATCTACACGAGTGTGTTGTAGTGGTATTATGTTATATTAAATGTATAATTGGCTCTTCAGCTAATGAAAGTCTTGTACAGGTTATGACAGTATAACTGATTCTCTCTACTGCAAGCTATTGTTTGCAATGTACCTACACCCAATCAGGCTATTTTCACAAATTATGACATTGTCCTGGTATTAAAGATGAATTGATTGTCTATTTCTATTCTGGCTTTTCTTCCTTTTTTTTTCCATTTTTTATTGCTTTTTTAATATGTCAACTTCAATCCTTGCTCGCTACAACAAAAACTGAATAAGTGTGTTTTTGCTGTATAACATGTATCATTGGCTCTTCAGCACATCAAAAGTCACTACAGGCTAACAGTGTCCAAGGATATAAATATAAATATAAATATTAGCAATAACGAGATTGACTCTGAACTTATTTATTTCATTATTCATGTTTGCCATTTTTCATGGTCGGAATGAGTAGTACGTCCTACTAAGGAATTCGTGAATCATACATTCTAAATAGATGAGGACTTACTGATTCATTTTAGTTGGGTGATGGCTGCCTAATTCCCTGCCATTTGTTGTTCTCATGTAACTTGTTTTCTTGTTCTAATTTAAAATTCGAGAAAAGAGGGCATTGGGATTTGGCTAAGAACACTAATTTGTTTTACTCACTGATCAAAGCTGATACTTTTCATAAGGTGGTTGAACAAAAAAGTGAATGGAAATCAAGGTGGCAATCTCAGTTGTCAGAGCTGAAGAGAAGAAGTAACAACAAAGATGGTGGAGGGAATATGTCATGGGCAGCTCGAATGCGTCAGCAGAGGGATGAATTGTCAAATGAATCATGACTAGGATGTAACTAATCGTGTATATATATTTATATATAATAGATGTGTACATCTTCCTATTCTAGATCAAATCAGATATAATATGAATCATGAGAAAATGTGCCATTGCAGAAATAAAAATTTGCGACTCTAGGTCATTTTAGTGTGTCTGGATGAATATTTGCAAAATTATTTTGAAATAAAAGTTATTTAAATGTAGTTTTTTTTACTCTAAAAGTAAATCAGTGGAAAAATTCAGTATAACCTTTTTTATTTAATACTGAAGAAAACTTATTTGTAGTTGCTCTAAGTTGAAATTAATTTGTAAATATGTAAATATATAAATATTTATCTAAAGTTACAATAGTTGATTTAAATGTAATTTGGGGCCGTGAGAAGATTATTGGGGTGCCTATTTGTGTAAGTGTAAGGAGGGAGGTAAATAATTTGTTTCTTGAAGATGGATAACTTTTAAGGATGGGCAAAAAATTCAGTTAGTTACGTTTAGTCCATAATTGTTTTACGTCATACTATTTCAAAACTATTTTAATAAACAAGATATGGACTCCTGTTGAAATTTAATAAACAAGATTAATGAGAATCAAATATCTGTATTATATAGATAGGATTAGATGAGAATCAATTATCTATATTTTGATAGATAAGGTTAGATGAGAATAAATTATCTATATTTTGATAGATTGTCTAGTTGGTGGCCTTTTCTAATTTCCAATTTTTTAACTTTTTTTTTGAAATTTAATATGATGTATGATTTAAATAATTTAATACTCATAATTTTCATTATATGATAAGAGTGTATTATTAAAATATGAATTTAAATTGTTAACTTCATTTCGGCTAAAATATTATCGATTATTATATTAAACAAATTAATTTTATTCGTCATATATATTATTTATTTTAAAAAATTAATATTAAAGATGTTCATATGACTATAAAATTGAAAAATAGAAAAAGAAAATACAAGAAAAATTAATTAAAAATAATAAGAAATAACACAAAGTATTGTTTTTTTTTAATAAAAATCAACAATCATCCCTAATAAATTATTATGTTATTGATCACTTTATATAATCAACCCTAGCAAAATTAACAATTTAATCTTAAAAAAAATATCTTTATTATTTAATAAACAGTAAAATAATTAAATTTGTTGAAATAAAATTTAATTAGAAATTATGAGATATAATAACCTTGATTTTAATGTGATTTTTATTAAAATGTAAATCAATTTAATGTAAACGACTATGAACTTATTTTTATTTAAATTTAAAGTAACATTAAATAAAAAATATATTATTTATTGAATTTTAAAAATTTAAGTAATTATGCTAGTTATTTTACCAATAAATGGGATATTGATTTTTTATTGTCCTTTATACATTAAAATGTTGGAATGTCAAGGAATAAATATGATTGAATTAAGCTCAAATCACACTATTTGAAAGTCCCTTATGAAACATTAGTGGAAAGACACTCAATTTTTTATATTATTACATTTTTTTTAATTTTCTTTTCACTTTTTAATATAATCATTTTTTTCTACTCGTATCATATTTTTTTTTCTCTTTCATCTTTCTAGTAAATTTTTAAATATATAAATTATAATAATTATTTTTTTATTTTCTTTTTTATTTTATAAATAATAATATATTATATATTATCATTTTTTTCTCTGTTCTTTTGTAAATTATAATATATATATATATATATATATATATATATATATTAATATTTACTAAAACGATTAAAAAAAAAAAGAATTATATGATGTTATGTTGAGAAAGATTTATATGATGGTGAGAATGTGTTCGACCAATTGATAAATGAAAAAGCTATTGGGTTGATTAATTAAATTGTATAGTGGTAAGAGTTATGTTTCACAAGCAAACTAAGGTTCGTCGTCCATGGACCAAAATTGACAAAGTTGATTAAGTAAAACAGCATAGAAAAGTAAGTGTTTATAATTCTGATACAATGTTAAACCTAAAATAATTTGGATGTATTAGAAAAATTTACAAATTAATTAGAAGACAAAAAGTACAAGATAAGAGAATGGAATTAGGTAGGAAATGTGAATCACAACTCTAGATAAATTGATAACTTAAAAAAATGTTTGTTCTTTGAATTAAAAAAATTTAAATGTAAGAACACAATTCATAGGATAATAAAAACAGTAGAATATATATATATATATATATATATATATATATATATAAAAGAATAAAATAAATTATACTTATTTTAATATTAAATGTTTGTGATTGAAAGTTAAATTGCACAGAAGAAAATAAACATTAATTTTATCATTTTAAATCAATTTATTAATTTTTTTCTCTCTCCGTCAAAAATCACGTATACATATTATATTTACACCCTTATAAAAAAAAAGTCTTTATAAAAGAGAAATAAACTAATAAAATAAAAACATTAATTACTTTTTTATATTATTTAATTAATTAATTACTTTCTTTTATAAATTATAATATTTTTTTAATTATATTAATATTTTTTACAAACTGATAATTTTCTAGTTGTTTTTAACAATTTATTTAGCATGACTATTCGTCATTAGGATAGTTGGAATTTGAAACTTTGTTAAACCTAACATTTATTCATCCTTATTTTTATTCGTAATATTTATTATATATGATCAATTTATATATATATATATATATATATATATATATATATATAATTACCATTATAAAAAGTGATTGAGTACTTGTTAGTAGGAAATCGAGAAAAGCGATGGAAAAATGAAGGAAAGAAAAATCGAGAAACATGTGATCGATCGGTAAAGCGAAAAGGTGGATGAGAAACCATTCGATGTCCAATTAGAAGAGCATGACACATAAAATCGAAAGTTAGAGTCGGAATCGGAGAAATAATAGTCAAAAGTTTATTGTGGAACAAACCAAGAAATTAGAAGTATATGATGCTAAGGTTAAAAGGAATCAAAAGTAATCCAAAGTTCTCGATAAAATCGAAGTCTAAATCGAAAGAAAGGTTAACCCGCATAAATATCAAAATCGTAGCCAGATCATAAAGAGAAGGAGTTAAACACACACATAGGAAACAATTTCTAAATCGTGGCAGAGGTTGAAGATCATGGGAACGTGGGTGCAATTTTGACACCACAGAAGAAGAAACTGCAACGCGCACGAAGAACGTGGTAGCAGTTTTGTTAACTGCTCCTAGAAGGCTTGAATGATGCCCTATAAATAGAGCAGAGGAGGAAGGAATAGGGGGGGCAGGAAATTGGCAGAGAACAGGATTAGTAGTGAAAAAAGTCTACCGGAGAAACGACGAACACCATGAAGCTTCTGGCAATCTGGATTTCCATGCTCACGGAGTACCTTTATCGCTTTCTTTATTTCCCTTGGTAATTTATTTTAATGCAATTTATATTCAGCAATTTTATGTTTCTGTATTTTCGATTCTTCGTCATTTCGATTCAATGCAAGTTAAGTTTCCGTGTTTAAATTCCCTGGTCATTTTACATTAATGCAATTTCGATTTCCAGTCATTTATTGCACCTTTGATTTACTGTCCTTTACATTTCCTACAAATTTGATTTCTCGGTATTTACATTGTTGCTATTTCGATTCCCTGTCTTTTACACTTAAAGCAAATTTAAGATTTTCGTAGTTTACGTTTCTTTGCAGTCTAAGTTTCAGCACTACTTTTCAATTCCATACATTTTCTGCTTTCTTTACTTCGAGTATTCTTAATACAAAACACCAAAAATAGTATCTTTGAAATCGGGTAAAATTCGATCCTCATACACATTTTGATTGAAAATTAATTTGCTAGCCTAAGCAAAAAGAACTTACGTGGTAGAATTTTGATTAGGATCAAAATATCTTAGGAGTCGAAATCGATTGAAATTCCACCAGAAACAAATTGGCGCGCCAGGTAGGGGGTGTCTTGTGTTGAATACACAAAAATTGGTTAGTTCGAAAGTGTATGAGATTAAGGAGTGGGAGAGTTATCAGTATGAGTCAAAATTCATCAAATAACCAGAGTAACAGTGAAGGTCTGAATGGTGTACATTCACCAAATACTGGGGGGCAAAGTCATAATGGGAATATGCCTGTAACATCGACGACTACAAGTATGTCGATACTTGTGGGTAACGAGCTAAATTCAGGTACCTTAACAAACACCCAAGTAGGATCTAATGCGGTGGTACCAAATAATATGCAAACTATAGGAAACCCCACAACAACATATGTAGGGCCATATATGAGTGTAAGACCGCCTGGGTTTTCGCTTAGTAATACGAGCGGGGCTGGAACTTCTTCAACACAGCGGAATTCGAGATATAACTTAGGAATGTCTCAAACGCTGGGCATGCCCCAGAACTTTGGAGTCCCTCCGGTAATCCCTCAGAATTCAGGAAGCGGACAGAATTTAGGCACACAACAGACGCTTTCAAATCTAGATCATAGAGGAAATCTAGACCATAGAGGAAATTTGGAACATGGAAGATATACATTCGATAGAGATTATCATCGATCCAATTTTGAGACTATCGAGAACACTGGTACTGGGATATCCAGTAACTCATTAGGGATACTTAGACAACAAATGGATGAGAACAATTTTGAGATGGTGAATATGTTATCCCAACAGTTGACTATAGTCCTAAATCCATTAGTTCAAAACACTACAGCTAGTTTTGAGATATTAGCAGATCAAATGTCACGAATCGGGGATGCATTGGCTGTACCTCGACGAACAAGGGTAGAAAATCATGCTAACCAGAATGCCAATATCAATCCCCCATGTAGACCCCAAATCTTGCCCGGCCTCCAAATAAAGACCAGAAGACCTCCTATTTGAAGATGGACAAGCCTAACAAGCCATTAGGAGAGACTATTAGGCCCCATACTAGGATAGGAGGGAGTTTTTGTACCAAAAAATAAGTTTTCTTGCTTTGAAGGGACGAGACCGCCTTCTGGACCAACCAGACCGCCGTCTCGCCTCACGCAGGA